CTCCTCATCTTTAAAAAAGTCATTGAGGATAAACGTCTTGTTGGAAACAGACCTTGCATTGATTAAACACATCCTGATAGGGTCCAACGCAGACACAGCCGTGGAAGGAGAAGCGGGCGCAGGTTATGAAGAACAGCTCCTCCAGGTCTGCTGGTGCGTCGCACAGGTAAACAACTCCAGGTGTTTACATGGACTGAGCGCGCGGGCAGCTGGCCAGCAGCCGGGCCCCGGGAGCACCACGGGTCAGAGAGGAGATGATCAGATCCAGAGCGAGTCCTGATAGAATAATCCACACTTTGCCTCAGTTTCACCAAAATCCCTGCATGCTTCCCACGACGTCTGCGACGTTTCCTCCATGGAGAAAGGCCAGGGCCACACAGAAGGAATGCAGGAATCTCAGACAGGACTGGTGGAGGAGAGTGCTGGCTGCTGTACAAAAACTCCTCAGGCATTTCAGCAAATGTACGGAGCTCCAAAACTTGTTTTTAACAGATTCTGAGATGTGCTTGAAGTTGACCTGTACTTGTTTATCTTTATCTAAAAGTACCAGGAATTTCTGGGCGTAAGATCAACTGCTTATATAAGACTGTTTCCCATCAGAACTGTTTTAACAACTAGAGCGTTTAGATGTCAAGCTGACCTAAGAAGAATTTGTTTCCCAAGTGTTTTCCTAAAATGGGAAAGGACTGATAAAAGTGTTATACAACCCTCTGACGTCAATGAAAGGTATAAATAAGAACAGAAGTATGTTGAGACAGGGGTTCTGTCTTTTGAGGTCTCGAGGTATTTCTGCCTGTTTCACCTTAGAGGTAAAACTTCAAATAAAACCCCCATTTTGCTGTCAAACAGAACCAAGGTGTCTACTGTTTTATTTAATGAACCCAAAAGTATTTAATGTAGTAGCCACTATAATATAAATAAACATCCACTCTTCATTATTTTAAAAATAATGTAAAAGTTGCAAATGGAGTTAAAGTGCAGGGATTAGAGTTTTCAATGAACCTCAGAGGGTTTTAAAGCTCCAGGCAGACTGAACACTGGTGTACCAAATCCAAACTATAACACATTGTCACATTAACACTTGGTCACTCCAACACCTCACTGTAAGTGGAAGCTAAAGACAAAGTGAAATAACAGCAAATTGTCCAAGTAATGCTCTGAGTACATGAGTTTGGACCTATCAGAACCACTTCACTGTACCTTGTAATACTGGCCATTTGTGAATTTGCAGCCACAAGAATTCTTCTGGACACATTTCCCAGCACTCAGGACGTAACCAGGATCACACACACAGGCCTCTGAGCAGGTTCCACTGCAGGAGGGGGGCGGTCCAGTACATGTCTCCTGACAGGGGTCTGCACAGGACTCATAATGGCTGTTGGGGGAGCACTTCAGAGCTATGAAAAAAAAGAAGAAGCTGAGATTAGTTTTATGATCATCAATCCATTCATTATCTTTTATTTGCTTCTTCCTTAACAGGTTGCAGGGGTCACTGGTGCCCATGTCCAGCAGTCACTGTACAAATGGACTGCACTTATATAGCGCCTTTCTATCTTATAAAGATACTTAAAGCGCTTTACACTATAATCTGTGCCCTCCATTACCCATTCATACAGCACTCTACTATATCTCTACAAAGAATAATCAGAGCTTTATCACATTCATACATTGATGGGAAACACATCAGAGACAATGAGGGGTTCAGTGTCTTGCCCAGGGACACTTCGACATGTGACTGCTGGTGGAATCGAACCCCCCCAACTCTTGCATTGGAGGACGACTGCTGTAACCACTCAGCCACAGCCACCCTCTTGTAGCCACCCTACAAGTGGTGGGGCACACCCTGGACAAGTCTCTAGTCCATCACAGGGACACCTTGGACAGGTTGCAAGTCCATTCAGTACCCTGAAATGACTTTGGTTGTGACTTGGCACTATATAAATAAACTGAATTGAATTGAATCACAGGGACACCTGGAAAAGTCGCAAGTCTACCACAGAGACACCTGGACAGGTCTCCAGTCCATCACAGAGACACCTGAACAAGTCTCCAGTCCATCACAGGAATTCCTGGACAAGTCTCCTGTCCATCACAGGAACACATAGAGACAAAATTGACAACCATTCACTCTCTCATTCACACCTAGGGATAATTTAGAGTTACCAATCAGCCTAACATGCATGTTTTTAGTCTTTGGGAGGAAACCGGAATACCCAGAGAAAACCCAGGCAGCAAGGAGAGAACATGCAAATCTCCACCTAGAAAAGTCCCCAGCCAGGATTTGATCCGGCGACCTTCTTGCTGAGAGGTGACAGCTCTACCAAGTAAGCCACCATGCTGCTCCAGTTTTAAAATCATACATAAACATAAGAAGGAGGTGCAGTGCTAAAAATATTTGGGGCAGGATGGATAGGACCTAAAATGAACTCCTAAACGTCGATCATAAATTTGGGTGTGGCTGCCAAGGTGGGATCAAAGTGCTATGAGGTGGGTATGACAACAACAGAATATGCATGGGCAAGAAGACCTTTTCACAAAACGTGGACATAAAGGTAGACTGTGATTTTGAAAAACTGGTTGTTCAAAACACAGCCTCATGGCAATTTGGTTCCAAAAACTCAGAGTTCAATGAGACTGTAGCATACAATTAAAACAAGTTTTCTCTCACTGCTGAACCCATTTTAAGACATCAGCAGTCTTCCAGAAGTCGCAGCTCAACGAGATACCAGCAACTCAAAAAACACCTCCCTACCAGTCTGTGTGCTTCATTTCAAAATCCTTTTTGGTTAACGAATAAGCAAACTCTGACTTTCTGACTGGAATATTGCTCACATATGGCCGAGTTTTAATTGTGAGGGATTTCATTGTACATGTCTGCTGCCCTGAAAAGCCTTTGGCTCAGGAGTTTCTAAATCTGATCCAGTCTTTTTTTTTAATCACTGTCTTTTTATTAAAGTTTTTCCCTTTCTACATACAAATTGGAAGCCGTGAGTACAAAGGAGTCATACATATTGGTCTATTTAAACTACATACTTAAACAAAAATAAACAAAAAAAAAAAATCAAAATACTTCCTAAAAAATAATTCCATTCACTCCTACCCAGGTCACTGCCCTGCACATTACACACTTACCCATGGCAAGAATGGAGATCACATTTTAATAAAAAAGAATTCACCTGAAATATTATTGTATATTTTGAAATGCGTCAAGAAAGGGGCCCTGTGTTTTTTTTTATATTATTTCTGAGTAGAGTGCTGAAGAGAACATCTTATTTTTTTTCGAGTTTTAAGCATGACATAAAGTCATATAACAACTGTTTGTGAGTTGGAGGAGCTGCACCCCTCCATCTGATTAGAATCGCTTGCCTCACTAACAAGGAACAAAAAGACAACACCTGTCTTTTAGAGGCTGATAAATGTAATTCCTCACCACTAATGCCAAAAAGAGCCAGGAGAGGGCTAGGTGTTACTGCAACTCTGAGGAATCTGGACAGGGTGTGAAAAACATCTGTCCATAACTGACAAAGACTGGGACCGGACCAGTACATATGGACCAGTGTGGCCTCGGCAATTTTGCATTTGTCACAGTATGGGGTGATTTCCCGATAGATACGAGACTGTTTGCTTTTGGAGAAGTGGGCTCTCTGTACCAATTTAAACTGAATAAGACAGTGGCATGCACACAAAGATTTTGTATTAACAAGTTTAAGTACAGAAGCCCATGTCTCATCTGGGATGGTCATGCCCAAGTCCTCCTCCCATAAAGCTTTTAGTTTGGGTGAGGAGGTCTCTATCGTGTTTAGCATTTGATTGTAAAGCCATGAAATCAGCCCTTTATGGGTCAGGTTCCATAGTAAGATGGTTTCCAACAGTGTAGGCTCTGGTAGAGAAACTGAGCCTGAAAGATGGGATTGAATAAAATTTATGTCTTGTAAATATCTGAAAAAGTGGGATTGTGGTAGACCATACTTATTGCTAAGTTGTTCAAACATTGCTAATTTCTTCTCTATGAAAAGGTCCTTAAAATGAAAAAGACTGCTCCTGTGCCAATCCAAGAACACCCCATCCTGAAGAGATGGTTTAAAGAGATGGTTAAGTGCAATGGTGCTCCATATTTCAGTGAATGTTTCACTGCAGGATTTTCAATGGAGTTAGGCAAGGAGAGTGAAAGTGGAGAACGGAGCATAGTCGGTATAGATATATTATTGTTGCTGTGTAATTCCATAGTCACCCAGTCAGTCAGGTTATGGTAAAAATACCAGAACACTAAGCATCTGAGGTTAGCATACCAATACTAAAACCGAAAGTTGGGGAGGCCAACACCTCGTCCCCCCAACCCACTCTTCTTCAGGTTTTTGAAGATTAAGCCTTGGGCATTTACCCCTCCAACTGTAGGATTAAAAAAAAAAAATCCAGCTTGTTAAAAAACATATTGGGAATAAAAATAAGTAATGCCTGAAAAAGGTATAACAATTTGAGTAATGTAGTAATTTTAATTGAGTTAATATGGCCTACCAAGGACATGGAAAGTGGCGTCCATTTTGTGAGGGATCTTTTCACTTGGTTTAACAGTGGAGTCAAATTCTCTTTGAACAGGTTTTTGCTTGGGTATTTTTGTCACTGTGATACCCAGATAAGTAATTTTTTGATGTTCAATTCTGAATGGCAGATTGGTAAAATCTGACATATTTACTTTACTACTTAAAGGGAAAAGCTCACTTTTGGTAAGGTTCAGCTTATACCCGGAGATCTGGCCAAATTGGCTAAACAGATCGAGGGCAAAAGGCAGTGAAGTTGATGGCTTGGAGATAAAAAGTAAAAGGTCGTCTGCATAAAGCGACACCTTATGTTCCATGTCATTTCTCCAGATGTCGGATATCTCCTTACTGGTACATAGTGCAATGGCGAGGGTCTCTATGGCCAGATCAAAAAGCTGGGGGTTAAGAGGACAGCCCTGCCGGGTGCCTCTTTGTAATTTAAATGGTTTTGAGGTTTGAAAATTAGTACGAAGTGTAGCAGATGGCTGATTATACAATAATTCAATCCATGAAATTGATTTCCCCCCAAAACCAAATTTACTAAGGACTGCAAAAAGATAGTCAAACTCAACCAATTCAAAGGCTTTTTCAGTGTCAAGAGAGACAAGACACTCATCTGAGACTGTGGGGCTTGAATAAGCTATGTTAAGCAGCCTTGTATATTAAAATATGATTGGCGATCTTTAATGAAACCTGTTTGGTCTTTTGAAATAAGTGATGGTAGGACGGTTTCGAGTCTACAGGCAAGAATCTTAGCTAAAATTTTGACATCTGTATTCAGGAGAGAAATAGGTCTGTATGAGGCGCATTCCATTGGATCTTTCCCTTTTTTTGCAACAAGTCTGATACAATCTAAAAAAGTTAAATCTGGTCCTCTGGACATTCAAAAAAAACCAAACAAAGCAAATCAACAAAAAAATGTAGAAACGTTTCGTCTCTCATCCGAGAGACTTCCTCAGTCTGAGGAGCTGTATTCAGCTCAGTCTCTTAAATAGCACCGTCTCAGAGTGGATCAACCAGTTTTGCTGCTGACAACCAAAACCAGCTGATCACATGCTCAAGAAGGACCATCAGCCTAACAATGAATCATTAGCACACTGATGGCTGTTTACTGTTCACAGAGGGCTGAGTGATACTAGCAATCACAGCATTGTAAGAGGGGGACAGTTGAACCCGGAGGCCTCCACCCCTGTTTAACGATGGATGATTTCTTTTCACAAAGATGACCTCCTTTACTCCTCTCTCAAACCATCGTTCCTCTCTGTCCAGGATGTGAACATCTTCATCCCTGAAAGAGTGACCGCTGGCCTGGAGATGAGTGTAGACCGCAGAGTCCTGGCCTGATGATGTTGATCTTCTGTGCTGGGCCATCCTCTTGGCCAGTGGCTGTTTTGTTTCCCCGATGTAAGACTGATCACAGCCCTCCTGACACTGAACAGCATACACAACATTATTCTGTTTGTGCCGGGGGACTGGATCTTTAGGATGAACCAGTCTTTGCCGTAATGTATTTTGGGGTTTAAAAGCCACTGGGACTGGGATGCAAGAGCAAACGTTCAACTGAGTGTATTGTCAAGGTCAAGCTTTGTTTTAAGTTCAACACGTTTTTTTTTTTTTTGATGTTGCACGTTTGTGGTGAGACGTATTGTGTAACTTCCTGTTTTCTCTGCTGCAGCTTGAGTAATTGGTTTGCTCAAGTCGTCTTTTGTTTTCTGGATTTATCTGTCTTTTGCAAAGTTTTTCATTCTAGTACACAAATACCCTCAGTACAGCTGTTTTTCTACTGTTGGATAGTGCTTGAAACACCTTTTGTCTTTCAATGCTTCTCAGTTTTATTGGTGTTTTGGGATCTGCTAGCT